TGAACCAGCCCAGGTACCTATGACTGACTTGAATGACTATTTTATCCATACACCTTTGGTAGTTGCTGCTTTATGTGCTAATTCACAGGGCAGTTAAAATCGTTAGCATATGCAAAACTTTTTACTCTTCGTATAATGTCTTCTGGGTGAAGTAAATACTGAAACATTAATGCTTTCACATCTGGGAGAAAAATAATTTCTCCAGTGGTTTTGGCCGGTTGCCTTCCTCCCATTTTGTATTTTCTTTTGAATAGATAGAAAGGCTTTAATTCTGAGAGTGACTGTATTACTGAATAATGATTTGTTATGTGTTTCACAGAACTAAGTTAAAATAAATGCTATCAAGCTTTAAGTGGCGATGGCACATAGATTTGAATTTGAGACATATAACTGCGTCTTCAAGAAAGCGCACATCTTCTGGGCGAACCCTGCTTGGCAGTGGTTTCTGGGCGAACCCTGCTTGGCAGTGGTATTGCTTTTTCCAGTAGTGAAAGCAGTGACCTGTTGTTGATAAATTTTATATAATTTGAGTATTGTTATTACAGAGAAGCTATACTTTGTAAAGAATACAATAATAGGATGGTCTTTAGGTCTACTGTTGTACATATCTGGATGGGATGGAGAAGGAGCTCGCAAAGAGGTTAAAGCATGCCTTGAAAATATATATGAATGAGTGCAAATTCCTTCTTTTCTTAAGCAAGAAGCATTAAGTGAAGTCAGAGTGACGGGGGAATCCTTATTTAAAGCTAGAGAGGTGAAAGATTGGAACTCCTGACTAGCTTGGGACAGGCATTCACATATATTTTACTGAATAAAGTCTGTGTGTTAGTACTGAAGAATATTCTCACTTGTTCTGGATATCCAGAATAGCAATCTAAGAGTAGATTCTAGCTATTAAAGCAAGTTTATACCTGTTTCTCAAGCTGTAGAAGGAAAGAACAAAGACAACTAAAAAATAAGACAAAATTAATGGTCGTTTTCACTTTGGCTGTCATATTGCTCCCTATCATCCATGTTTTTCATGTCTGTAGATTTTTGGGTGGGAGGGGAACCAGATGATGAATGTAATTTTCTGCTAAACAGTATTATTGCTTAGAGCTGTAAACGACTCTCGTACAGGAATCGTGACACCTGCAGAGTGGATGCTTGCATTGTTGTGACTATCCTCTAGAAAAAAGAAATTTCTATTGGAAAGAGTAAATGGCTGTCAGTCTGCAATAATATCCAAAAAAGAGTCCAAAGTATGCAGATTAGGCAGCTGAGGTGCTTTTTAATTTCAAATAAATTAAAATATTTTTAGATCTTGTGATTTCTGAAGGTATGTCTTGAGTCAGCAGATTCCGTTCTACAGAAGGGACACAGAAGACTTCTGATAAGAACGTCAGTGGCTTCTGTTTAACTTATTCCTGTTTTTAAAGGATGTGCAGGTTCTGTTTAAATGCTTATTTTCTAAATGAAAATTAGAAGATGTTAATATAATCAGGTTTGTGGATATGCATTGTTGCAAATCTCGATTTCTTTCCTCACTCCCCCTCCCCCTTGCCCCTCCTCTCCCCCAAACAGATTTCTACTTAAGTTGTTTGTCTTTGAAAACTTCTAGTGCTGCGTTTGATACAGTCCTTGGAATAAATGTTGCTGTAAAGAAGCTGAGTCGTCCTTTTCAGAATCAAACCCACGCAAAAAGAGCTTACAGAGAGCTTGTTCTTTTAAAATGTGTCAATCATAAAAATGTAAGTTTGGCTGCATATTTCCCTCCCTCATGAGTGTAAGTTGTCTTAAAAAGTTCTGGATTTGCTCTCAGACCTACTGTTAGTGACCAAAGTAATGGAAAAAGTGGTGAGAGAGATTGGAAAGATTTACTGCCAGAATACAGTTTTTCACAATGTATGATTAAGTTCATGGTGGGGTGCTTGGCATTTGGAGGACGAAGTGCCATGAGGAGAGGGCTTTTGGAGCATTATTGATATGGGTTGCCCATCAGCCTATACTTTGTAAAGCTTGTCTTGCTGTAGTGCGTTGGCCTGTTTAAGCTCTTTGCAGCAGAACCCGTTTGGCAGAGGCTTTGGTTATGGTTTTAGCTATTCTAGCTGCACTGTACTTAAATTGCCTGAGTTTAGACGTGATTTCTTTTTACTAAACACCAGTGTTAACTGGCAAGGTGGGGGAATATGGACAGGAACATGGGACAGAATAGCCTGATATTTTATCTATAAACAGAGGTGAAAATACTATGCTGCTTGCATTTTTTGAACAATATGTATTAACCATTAAACCTTTTAAAATATGAAGCTTTATAGGGTCAATACCTTATTGTTCTACCTTGTTCAATAAGGTTCAACAATACCTCTTGTACAAGTACAAGAATATAAAGATTACGTGAATGTGTCATGTTCCGATGTTTACATGAACTGGAAACGTTGCTGATCATTGAGGTTGTGTGCTGAGGTCTCACACTTCATGGAATCAATTAATTGTTTATGATTGATTTAAGTAAGCTTTTGGTGACGTCCTGAAGAAACAAAGCAGTAATTTTAAGGATGACAATACAGTAGTTTTAGCAGTTATTCTAGAAATAGTAGGTAATCATCTAAGTTGAATGGGGTGACACGGAGCACCTCTGTGTACATGCTGTTGCATGGTTAAAATTCCTTGCACACTGCATACTGTTAAATAAGAGGTTATTATGCCCTTGTGTTGAAAAAAATGGGATATCTTTTGGACAGTGGAGAGGGAGATAAGTGTGTGTGGTGTGGTTGTTTGTTTTTTGTTTTTTGTTTTTTGTTTTTTTTTAGTTTAACTGGTCTCTGTCTTATCAGGATACATGCTGCAGTTTTCAACTTTTTTTTTTAGCACAAGTGAATTAAGTGAAACCAAATAATATTGCATATAGTCAGAGTACTTATGGTTTTGAATAATAATATTTTCTGCAGTAGTGGATTTTTTACATGAATTAATTTTTCTTCTCATGTTTTTTTACTTTATAGATAATTAGTTTATTAAATGTATTTACACCGCAGAAGTCACTAGAAGAATTTCAGGATGTGTAAGTACTAGATTTTCTTTATAATTCTCTTGACAAACTAGCCTAAGCCCTAGACCTATATTTCCAGGATCATGCAGACCTAACGCTTTGAAAACAGGATGGTAGCTGAAGGCTGAATTTGGCTTTTGATTAGGCTTTCTTGTTGTTTCTTAAGGAAAACTAAAAGCAAGAACAACCTACATAAGAAAAATGGGAAATAAATAAGATTGGTTGACTTTTACTTGGCTGTCTGCAATGCTTTGCAGCTTGCGCGTATATCTGACTTGTGCACTTGTCCTTCAGCTAAATGGGTCATTTCAGGGTAATAACTTGGTCTGGATAACTTAATACCATTTTTTAATCTAGATGGTATGCCAAAGATATTGTGGTACTGGTGGGATTGATTTGTCAATCAGTCATGGTAGTTTAATACGAGATATCCATACCTCTTATCCAAGTATATGTGGTGTTGTGGTTTCTAAATGGGCTTGTTTGGTAAAGATTGAAGGGGGGGCAGCAGCTTTTATTAAACATCACTCGTGCTGGGCTTAAACATGATTTGAAAAGTGAATCTCTAGTTTTCTTAATTTTTTTTTTCCTTCTGCTGTAGATACTTGGTTATGGAGCTTATGGATGCAAATTTGTGCCAGGTTATTCATATGGAATTGGATCATGAAAGAATGTCCTACCTTCTCTACCAGATGCTATGTGGTATCAAACATCTCCACTCAGCTGGTATCATCCACAGAGTAGGTACTATTTGATCACTAACAATACTCTTTATGAAGACAGAGGTTCTTATGAAACTATTGGAGGGTAAGGGCTTTTATTACTGAAAGTTTTTATTAGTGTTTATTACTGTTTTTATTACTGTAATAATAATGCTATTATTATTAAATCTGAAAACTGTTCCTAGCTCAAAGATGAATACTCATATACTGTAAATGGATGTTTTATTTTTTTATTTTTTAATTTAATATTTTTATTATATTGTATGAGCAACAGTGGACCTTTCAAGTTAGTAGAGAATGGGTTTTCGAAAAAAGCTAAAACAAAAAGAGCTTTGAAATCCAGGAGTGGAAACTCATGATTAGATGAGAGATTTGGTTTTGAAAAGAAGGCAGGAGTAGAAAAGGGTCAGAACTGGGGTAGCTTAGGAGGAATGGGACAGTAGGAATGAGCAGAAGAGTTCATGACTAACAGAGCTTGGACTAATGTACATGACTCCTACATCTGTTGTTAATTAAGCATATTGAAATCCCATGGCCCACTGTTACAGCAAGATGAGATAACAACAACAAATTTCCTTATCAACTAAATGATTATTTTGTTACTTCAAGATAAAAGTCTGGGCAGAGCGTTAGAATCTCCAGTGTAGCTGATGGTTTATGTGGTGGAAAGTCTGTTTTCGGATCTAGAACTTCCTTTGTGAAATGAGATGGGGACATATATGTAGCTGACATACGCTTGGCTGTTTTAGGAAGGTACCAGATCTTCTGAAGAATAGTATTGAATTTGCCAAGTAAAATACTTGGGCTGTAACAGAATTGAATTTGCTTGTACCTGTGTGATTCAGCTTCTTGTGATAATATGTGAATAAAAAGACTAGAGTAATACTTCTTTTGCTGTACCGTGTATTCCTTTGGCTACAGTAATGACTTTTCCCATGGGGCATGTCTCTTAAAATATTTTGTTGTTCTCCTTTCTCATTGGTAGCTTTATACTTTCGCTACATCATAGCTCTGTGAAATTGGCTAATTGATATAATGCAGATGGCTTATCTGTCTGTAACAAATTTGTTAATGCTTTATCTGTTAGGTCATTCCTTTTCCTACAGCCATCTGACACGTCAACACTGTGCGTCCCATGTTCTGCCATTGTTGGTAGGGTGCAGATACTAAAGGCAACAATCTCCTTCACTATGCAACTATTATTTATACCCGAAATAGGTCCACTTAATGTGTTAAAGGAAGCAGATTTTATATATATGCACACAGTATGTACATACATTGTGTAACTGACTATATTGTCAGTGCACAAATGGATAAATTAAGACTACGTAGGTGATTTTGATTGTAGTTTTCTCTGCGTTTTTTTAAGTACTTAGCTGTGAAACATTTAATTTACTTGTGTATGTGTATGTAGAAACCAGCAGATACATTAGAGCGTGAATATGAAGTTGTTAATGTGAAATGAACTGGTGACATGTATTGACCTTGGAGGTGGGATGTGCTATTCAGTATGTTGATCCTTCTGTTAACTGAAATAATTTCCCCTTAGGATTTGAAACCCAGCAACATAGTAGTAAAATCAGATTGTACACTCAAAATCCTTGATTTTGGACTGGCAAGAACAGCGTGTACTAATTTTATGATGACTCCATATGTAGTAACACGGTATTACAGAGCACCAGAGGTGATCCTTGGAATGGGGTATAAAGAGAATGGTAAGTTACTGGACTAACATCTTAAATCTTTTGTCTGAAGCTCATCTGTCTCAGAACATAGCTCTAAAAGGTGAGGGCTGGTCCCTCCCATGTCTATTGTTAAAACATGTTAATCATGGTATTGGAAATAACAAAAATTACACTCTTAATCATTTTGGAGTGTATTAATACTTTTCTGCTCTTTGTATGTCTTTGTTTCACTTCTACTGTTCTCTTTCCCCCACTATTTTTGTTTTTTTTCTTGTGTTGTCCGGTTGCCATTTTTTTATCCTATGGAAAAAGTGGTGTTTGAAATGCTTACTCTCGATGATGCTAAAAATATAACCATCCATATGTAAACAATTAACAATTTACCAATGTCATTTTTATTGTGAAGCATCTTCCTTCCATCATCTGTCCTCTTTTGTGTCTTGGTTCACTTTGTTCAAATCTACTTCAGATCCCTAGCACAAACTGTGTCTTATACTCTCTTAAACGTGCATAGCACTTGGAGAGGCTGGGTGTTATATTCTTAAAACCAGTGTAACTAGAATATATTGAATGTCCAGCCAATAAAATTGGTGGCCAGGAGGTTGTCCTTCAGCTGCATTACTGGGGTCGTACCTGTTGATTTCAGTAGTTGTGGAGTAATATGCTGCTTCCTTTGGACATGTACCCTATTATGCCTGTTTGCTTTATCGTCTTATGCAGGAGTTTGGGAAGGGCATGCTATATGTATTTATTTATATATATATATATATATATATATAGTGTGTGTGTGTGTGTTTAACTCTGGCTGTGTAATACAAGACATGCACAGGACCTTGCTGAGCCAGTGGTCAGGATAATTTGCATTGATGAACAGGGCAGCTTGTCGTACACTAAGCGCTAACGTGGATGAGAACTTTAGTAGAGACTGCTCTGGATGGGACAAAAAATAAATTATCTGCAGGGCTGTAGATATGCAGTGTGAACTTACCAATAAAGATAATTATGGTATTTAAAAAATTCTTTAATCTTTTGTCCTTGTTGCACCTAACAAATGATAGTGGATATCTGGTCTGTTGGGTGCATTATGGCAGAAATGGTCCTCCATAAAGTCCTGTTCCCAGGAAGAGATTGTATCCTTCTTCATGGTGGTTTCAGAAATCTAAACGCTCGTTGTATTTTACAAAATGCCAATACAAAACTTGAATGACAGTCAGTTGGTGTTGAATTGATTGAAAATTCGTGTTAGTAGTTTGGTTTTCCACATTGTTGTGTTTTGATGTAGATGCTAGGCTTTTTTGTTTTGTTTTGTTTTTTCCTCACTTTTGTTCATGATACTTCATAATTTGATCATTTCATTTTTACTTTCAGTTGATATCTGGTCAGTTGGGTGCATCATGGGAGAATTGGTGAAAGGTTGTGTGATATTCCAAGGCACTGATCGTATCCTTCCCTAGTCATCCTTGAATCCCATTCCACTTCCAACAGAAACATAATTATTTTGATCTGTATAGGTGTAAAAGCACAAAAAAGAAAAAAAGTTGCATTAATGTTTTAGTAGGTCTACTGTAATATTTGAAATTAGTGTCATTAACCAAATTGAGCTTCCCATTTAATTTTCTCAGACTGTATTTAATGTAACGTGTACTGGTTGAATCCGTAGAATTTATATTAAGAATTTCAATTTTTGTAGCTTTAAAAGGATCCTGATAGGTTTAGAAAAGGTAAATAGCAGTAAATGTATTTTCTCACTCTTGTTCTTTGTAGATAAGTGTTATAAGCAAAAGCCTAAAGTTACTTTTTACAATGCATGGATTTTGCTTCCAGTTTGTTTGAACAGTAGAGTTGTTATTTATTGTACAAATTTTTGAGTTTGAATCAAATTTTTTTTTTCTTGCTTATTAGCATTTGCTGGACAGCAGTGTCCCCACTGCAAAAACACTGCATGAGAGATGTCTTTTTTTATTATTTAATACAAAAAGAAAAGCTCTTTTCTTTTGAAACTCTTTTTTCATTTTATGGAAATTTTATTTTGGGCTTTTTCTAGAAGACTCTCATTCCTCCCTTCCCCCTCCAATATTTTTTTGACCCAAATTTGTCTTCAGAAAATTCTATTTTCTTGTACAGTAATAACTGTAGGAAATTTTACTGTGAAATGCATATATGCCTTCATAAGTTAGATATGTGAAATCTCAGTAACACATTACTGGGTCAGAGATAAGTCTTTGCACTGTGTTAAGTGAACAGAAATGATCATTTGACAAATTATATATTCTTTTTTAAATGTATTTGATATATTTCAAAATACCTGGAAACAAAATTAAAATGTCTGACTACCTGTGAAGTTTCACTTACAAAAATTGGAGCAAAGCTAACTTTACCATCCTTTATAAAGAAGAAAGAAAATCTTGTAAAGAAGTGTTATAGGACTAGACATTCAAGACTCATCAGTAAATAAATAGTGTCCAGAAGATGTAATTTAAGCCACAGTTGCCAGTTTATGGCTCTGGGTAATAAGAAGCCACAGATACTTGTGGTCCAAGATTTTGAGGAAAACGTAGCATTTTTGCTCATCAGCAAACAAAAGTTTTGGCACACCACTTTAAAATATCAGGTATGAGTTCACAAAGTCTTTTCTTACGTATCTACGTATCTTAGTAGTGGACTTTCAATTTGAACGCTAAATTTCATGACGCTAATCTTCAGCAGTCGATCATGCGTTATTTAGTATACAAATGATTAATTATTAAATAAATCTTTTTGTTTTTCCACCTTTCTTCCTTTCTATACTTACTGTTTTATCTTCTGAAGCCTTCAGACCAACCTAACACAATTCTTCATGTATGTTGTGTGTCTTTCACCTGCATGTTAGCATGGGCTATCTTGATTTCTTTATGAATAATGAAGGAAATTTTGTCAATACTTGTTTAACATGCAAGTTAATATTTATGGTTCTTTAGGGGTCACTGAAGCTCCACCCATCTATATTTCAAGGAGTGTCTCCCTGTGTCTTGTCAGTGGAACGCGTAGCTGTAGTGGTGGGGTTTTTTGCTTTTTCTCCCCCCCTCCCATCCTATTCTAAGATTTGGCTTTTAGTTCCCTTTAATGTCAGATACCAATAGCTATTTATGTTGTTGAAACTTCTCCTGCCTGATACCTGCTTAAGTCAGATTAACCCTTTTTTTAGTAACTTCGACCGCAACGCTGTTTTGTGAGTGTGTAGTTTATGGGGGATGCTGGTGTGTATGTCTGTCTCTTTCCACGTCTTCCCCCCCCCCCC